AGTGACTTTTATTGACATTTTAGCAGTTTGAAATAATATATTGCATTAGAAATATTATATAGAGAAATAAGTCTGTAAAATAACAGAAAAAGTACCTGCAGTTTTATTTTCCCCAATAATTAACAACACTTATCCATACAGTATACTGCAACACTTAAAATGATAAAAACGTCAATAAAAGTGACTTTTTCAAATGTTCCATCATCAAAAGTTGTTGGAGGACAAATCAAGGTGCCATAATGCAATTCAAAGTGTGAATAAACGGGGAAATAAACTCATATTTTTAGTACAGTTTATGGAAGTGGCATGAAATTAAAGCTTTACCAGTTGAGTTTTTTTCCTTATAACCTTTTTACTTGCAACATTAATGCAAGATTGAATTGTGAAAATGCAAGCAACCAGTACTCATTAATTTTTAACGAGACTTCAGTATTCTGAAACCCACAGAGCAGAGAGACCGAGTTTGCTCAGCCAGTTCCTTTAAATGAGCAGTTTAAAAAACACATTCATGGATTCAAATCCCAATATTATCTCATAGCAAGAAGGTCGCTGGTTTGAGCTTCGGCTGGGTCAGGTGGCGTTTCTGTGTGGAGTTGGCATGTTCTTCTTGTGTTCTCGTGGGTTTCCTCTGGGTGCTCCCGTTTCCCTCACAGTCCAAAGTCATGCGGTACAGGTCAATTGGGTAAGATAAATTGTCTGTAGTGTATGAGTGTGAATGAGTGTGTATGGATGTTTCACAGTGATGGGTTGCAGCTATAAAGGCATCCGTTTTAACAGACAGGAGGAGAGGAAAAGTTACCTCACGAACACGCCAGCAGGCAGAGATGGAGTTTTAAAGCTTTCATTTTCTGCCTAGTAGTTAAATAGCAGCTCGTGTGCTGTACCATCTTCAGTTTCAGTAAAAGACTGTCCAGCAATCTCACAAGCAGTATATTGTGCACAGTTATCTGTTTTTAAGTATGGTAGTAGGAGCGTTTTATTTACTCACCCTCACCTATTTTGCCATAGTATTCTATCGTGCAATCACGCATAGGAGATAAATGACGTCAGTACATAATAACCGCTTATGATCTATTACTGAACCGTTATCGAATTGTCCTTGTCTGCATCACAGTGCATTGAAGAAACAATTCATTTTGAACTCCTAGATTCTACTCTTTTAAAAACCATGTCAGGAAAACTCCCCACTGTTAGAATTAAGGTTTTCTTGAAAATTAAATAATTATCAAACATAGTTTAAACTTGAATGTTAGAACTGCCAACTAACAGTATCATTCATTCATTCATTCATTCATTCATTCATTCATTCATTCAGCTTAGTCCCTTTATTCATAAGAATGAACCCCCAACTTATCCAGCATATTTTTTACACAGCAGATGCCCTTCCAGCTGTAACCCAGTACCATACCTCTCAACCCTCCCGTTTTTCCAGGGTTCTCTGGTATTTTACAGTTCTCTCCCGTAAAGGTATTTTCCCTTATTTCTCCCATATTTTCAGTATTTCTCTGAAAGGTGGCAATAAACATTAAAGAGCCAATCCTGTCTATACGCAACCCATACAGCCGTGCCACTAGGGGCCGCCCCTTGTCTCTTAAATGTGAGTCTGTTCTGTGCTTTTGCTTTTAGGCGTGAAAATTCACTTTTAAACAAATATAAAAACGGCATGATTCCCTTTCCTGAATAAAAGCTGACTCTCTCTCTCTCTCTCTCTCTCTATCTCTCTCTCTCTCTCTCACTGTGGCCCATTTGACCTGCTGCCGTGACTTTTTTTCCTCTTCTCTCGGCTGTTACAGCGATTCTTCTGGATAGAGGGCTGTAGAGGTCTTCTGGATAGAGGACCACATTTTTTTCGACGCGGGAATACATTTCCCAATAAAGCGCGGGAGGGGTCGGAAAATCGCTCAAAAGCTAGCAAGCATGTATGTATGTGTGTGTGTGTTTATCTGTGTGAATAAAAGAGAGCGTAATGCTGTGTGTCGCTTGCTTTGTCCTTTGTGTATATGTGTGTGTTTATACAGACAGCTTGTTACAGGTGTGTGAGTGTGTGAGTGTGTGAGTGTGTGAGTGTGTGAGTGTGTGAGTGTGTGTGTGTGTGTGTGTGTGTGTGTGTGTGTGTGTGTGTGTGTGTGTGTGTGTGTGTGTGTGTGTGTTTATACCCCCCCCCAAATATAAAACTGTGTATGCACTGTGAAGCACCGAGATATTGAACTGAATCGAATTAATGACATGATAATTGTAACCGAACCCAAGTGTAGGTTCTAATTTCTACAATAGATGCTTTGCCACTACAGCCAAGGAACATCCTATCTTACTTTGTCTCAACAACAAATACAAATGTGTTACGTTGTTGCGTATGTATTAAATATAACTTACAATTTAAATAAAATGTTTTATTCCATTCAAGTAGTCACTTGTACATAATTATTTTCCAGGATTTAAAAAATTATACAGATTTGACATTTTTCCCTCAGACTTCTCTAGGAATGGGTACGAAGTTGGCATTGAATTTCATCTGAAATGGTATTGAAAAGGTCTTAAAAAGCCTTGAATTTCATTTGGAGGATCCCACGGGTACCTTGTATGGTGGGCAGATCCCTTATTTTCACATTCCATTGTTGACAGGGATGCCCAGTACTGACAAACACCCATACACTCTCACATTCACACACACTCATCATACACTACAGCCAATTTAGTTTATTCAATTCACCTATAGCGCATGTCTTTGGACTGTGGGTTAAACTATAGCACCCAGAGGAAACCCACGCCAACACAACATGCAGAACATGCAAACTCCACACAATAATGCCAACTGACACAGTCAGGACTCGAACCTGCGACCTACTTGCTATGAGCCACCGTGTTGCGCTAACAGTATCCGTCACTCCGTAATTACTTTTAATAATTTTAATGTTATAATATAATTATCAATATATTAATGACATTAACAATTATTAGTATAAGAATATCCTATCCTGTTCATTAATTTAATTATATTACTGGCCATTTAGTTGGGAATGCAGTGCACTAAATGGCATTTAAAGGGACAGTCCACCCCACAATCAAAATAAACTTACTATTTACAGTACTACTCAACCTCAACTGGTTCCAAACCTTTATGAGTTTCTTGATTCTGCTGAACTAAAAAAAATATATATATATTTTGAAGAACGCTGAAACCTGTGGACATCCTTTTTGCTGAAAATGTTTTTGTGTCTGGTTTGGACGCAGTGTCTGAAAATCTTGACCTGTGGTTTGGGAATCATTGGAGAAGTGTTAGGAGAAAGGACAGGGACAGAGACCGGGGTGAAGAAGACCACTGTTGCCATGGATACTGCTGGATGCTACAACAGCCCACTTGAAGCTCAATTGTGTACACAGCCAAGGAGAGAGGAACAGTTGTGTGAAATCGGTTGCGTCAATTGAATCAAGTGATGAAGCTATTCTGGGCCGTCTTCCACATCTCAGCCTCCACTCAGATGAAAATAGAACATAAAAAAAAGTGTTTGCATAACTTAATCTGTAGACCATGAGGAAGACACAATGGGCCTTTTTGTGTGTTTGCTGGGATTCTCTGTTTTAATCGAAGTATTTTTATTTATTTATTTATTTTTATTATTATATTTATGGTTTTAATTTTACAGAATATGTTTTTTCACCATTCACAGGTTTTGCACTGATGTATATGTTACAATTTTGAATTTAAAGCAAATTAATAGTTACAAAACTAAAATTAAGGAGCATATTTCTTTGATAACTGGAAAAGAATATTTGAACCTGTCAGTTACAATATACTGATGCCCTTATTGGTGAAAATGGTGGAGAACGTTGGACTATTATTCTCTTTTTAGCTTATAAGTAGAGGACAGAAACTAGCCAGACATAAATGTGTGAATTTTGGAGCGGGCAAAATAAAAAACTTCAGTATTTTTAGTAATTGTACTTTTATTTTTTTATTCTTTCCATAATGAAAAGTATTATTGTAGAGCAACCCATGTTCTGTTGTCATTAATATTTAACTTTCATTGATAAAACTGTCAGAGATGTGAACAAAAGCAAGTGATGCATCAAAGTTTGATTTAAAAAAAAATCTTAAATTGTTATAAAAATCTTTATAATCATTATAATAAATTATTCAAATCTTAAATGATATTAATGATATGACGTAGTCCTGGAAACTTCCTACTTCTCTGTTTGTCCGTCTGACTTTACAGTAGGCTTCTTTTGACCGCCCCCTGTCGTTTTAAAGAGCCTTGTCGATACGATACGCGATAGGCGATACGCCACTAGGCGAAACTATAAATCATTGTTTTGATTATAAAACATTAAGATGTTTGTTTGTTTTCTGGAGTTTAAAGGTGCATCTAACCTGTCTTTATGCTGCTCGATTTGAATACATTTATTTTACCACTAATTTTGTGATTTTGGCATTTTCTCTTTATGTGTGTGCGTGTTTTTGATATTGTGATATCCGCTTGTTAAGTGGTGACGTGTTTGTGACGTATGTAATATTGTTTCCGGGTCCAAGCCGCCACTCATTTGAGTTGAGAAATCATTCGTTTTAGTATTTATTTTTATTCATATCACACATTGAAGTTAATTTTATTTAAAGTCCTAGTGTACACAACAATCTTTGGGTTTGCTGCAAAACAAATACCAAAATTGTAACAATTTATAAAAAAATGAATCACTTTTTGGCCATTGGATATTAGGCATGGACATATATTTAGCGATTGTGATTTTCGAAAGCCTTAAATCGCTTTGTAAATGTTTATTATTACCATTTTATGAGTCTCCCCATTCAGTTGAATAGAGCGCTTGGAGCCGGAAGCCGCTTCGCATGACGTCACACTTAACACGCGGATAGGTCTTAAATTTAATACTTAATTGTCTTAAAAAGTCTTAAATTTGACATTATGATATCCGCAGAAACTCTGAATATAATAAATGTTTTATTCATCTGAAAGCTTCAATTCCAAATTATTCCCTTTTTTTTACAGGTGCTGATTCCGAAACACCACCCAATCGGTCAGGGCGATGATGGTGCCCTCGGCCCATGAGTTTCATTGGCAGAGCCTGGCGAGTCTTTCCAGTGCACGCGTCTATCACTCGTTGGCTGATGTGGGTGGGCAGCTGTATTTGGTTGGTGGTTGCGATGCTTCGGGGCAGCCCACCAGCGCTCTGGAGCTGTACTCGCCCGAGGTGGACCGCTGGCTCAGTCTTCCTCCAATGCCCACGCCGAGAGCCGGGGCTGCGGTGGCAGTTTTGGGGAAGCAGCTGCTGGTGGTCGGTGGGATGGGGAAGGAACAGCGCCCTCTGAAGGCCGTGGAGGTTTACAACACAGATGAAGGGAAATGGAGGAAGAGGTGCTCGCTCAGAGAGGCGTCTATGGGGGTTTCTGTCACCGTTAAAGGTAAACGAGTTCAAAATGATGAAGTCAAATATATTCAATTGGAAGTGCATGGTATTTGTCAAAGTATTTGGTCATTGAATAGACTTACAATCATCCCAGATTTCGGGTTTAATTTTCTGATATGCAAATAAACAAATAAACGACATAAAATAAACCCTGCAACTCCAGCCTGGAAGTTTACAATATAGTCATAATCAAAACAACTTTTTAGTTAAGCAATGCTTTAGGGCACAGGTGTCAGCCAATTCCTGGAGGGCCACCTGAAACTACTGATACAGGAAGCCTGTGCTGGTATTTCTCCTGATGTGTTGCTATCAGTGTGTGAAGAATAGGAGAAGAGGGTTGCATTGACAATCCAACACAAGGGGCAGCACATTGAACACATGTTATAAGTGGTCAGAAACTTTTAAATAACTCATGAAAGAAGAAAGTTACTTTATAACCAAGCACACCACTGGTTTTCTTGTGAAATTCCCAATACGTTTGATGTGTCAAATGACCCTCTTCCTATTGAAAAAACAAAAGTTGGATCCAAGATGGCCGACTTCAAAATGGCCACTTTGGTCACCACCCATCTTGAAAAGTTTGCACCCTCACATACACTACTATGCCACAAACAGGACGTTAATATCACCAACCATTCCCAGTTTATTAAGGTGTATCCATATAAATGGCCCACCCTGTACATTTGACCACCCCTTTAATGGTTTATATGTTTGTAAATGCATGTTTGCGCCAAAAATATTGAATTCTTCGGTTTGAAACCAGCAAATCTAAAGCACCAACAGACAGCGTAAGTGTTCACAAAACCTTTTTCTTTAAAAAAAAAAATCTGTTGATATCTGTAAAATTAAATGCATAGTTTTTTATTTTATTATACACTGGCTCGCACATGGAAGTTAAACAGTAAAATAAAAAAATATGTGCAGTCTTTCATGGTCATCCATTAATAGGTGCAGGAAAGCAAACCTGTCACTGTTTATTTAATATCACAAAAGTCATTACGAACTACTCAGTTTCCCTCAAATAAATTAGATGAAATTGAATTAAATATATACTGTAAATTTGGTTCACTGAGGCATATTACCGAACATAACCGAAAAAGTTGACCCCCTGATCGTCAATGTATAATTCGCACCCTGCCTATAGGTTTTAAACAAGCCTGAAGGACTCAATTAGTTTGATTAGGTGTGTATAATTAGGGTTGAAGCCAAACTGTGCAGAGCTGCGGCCCTCCAGGAACTGGCATTGACACCTGCAGGGAATAGAATTCCTCATGAAGTGACAGAAGAAAGGCCCGAAATCTTGTGAACTTGTCCGGTGTTTCCCTTTAATAGATACTGTATCCGGTTTATTCCAAGTGCAGAGTAGATATCAATACTTCAAGCCATAGTTTAGCAGTTAGAGGATTAACATTTTTCCAGAACAGCTTTTTTTCTGTTTGGTATGATTTTAGATTTGGTTTGTAATAAATCTTTCTTTTTGTGTAATAATTTTCAAGTCCTAACTTTTTTATATAAACTGCTTGAGTTCAAGGCACGCAAACTTTAGGGAAAAGAAACTTTAAAAGTGCCTTTTCCCTGTTTTTGGACTGTCACCATTAGCATATAAAGTAACTATAACTGCTGCAGTCAACAGATTTTATTAATAGACCAACCAATCTCTGCATGGAAATATAATAATGATGCTGCCCTCTTTCTACAGTCGTTTTACCCCTCTCTAATTTGGCTCTAAATCTCAGGTGAAAATTGTCATTTAGACCCTGCTCTGCAAAATACTGGATTACTTAGTGAATATGACCTTGCATATGTTTGTCTAGAACCTCGTCTTTTCATTGACACTGAAATGAGTTTTAAGAACTACAAAATTTCAGAGCTTTCATGACACCCGATTTCTGTCATCATTCACTCACTGCTGAACACTGTTAAAACTGCTCATCATCAGCTTTGAGTTTCATAGTCGGGGAAAAAAAATCCTATGGAAGTCAATGGTGACTGATAATTCTGGATGTTATGTGTTAAAGATTTACATTAAATATTTCCTTCTGTCTTATTGATGTGCGATAGATGCAAGATAGCAAGGATCCGACTTTCGGATGAGACGTTAAACCAAGCTCCTGACTCTCTGTGGTCATTAAAAATCCCATGGTACTTTTCGTGAAAGAGCAGGGGTGTAACCCCGGTGTCCTCAATCACAATCATGGCCTCCCAATCCTCCCCATCCACCCAATTGGCTCTATCATTGTCTCTCCCCTCCACCAATAGCTGGTGTGTGGTGAGCGCACTGGCGCCGTTGTCCTGTGGCAGCCGTCGCATCATCCAAGTGGATGCTGTACACTTGTGGTGGTGTGGAGAGACCCCCCTCATGGTTGGGTGTAAGGCCATACACAATAAATGCTCTATATAAATACACATTACATTACATAGCTAAGGACACTGTTGCTCATGCCTTTTGGCTCTGTCTCTTACTGAATAGATTCTGGATCAACATGTTTGACTGGTATTCTAATGCTTAAAGCAGACCTTTTCTACCAGATGCCAAACTTGCCATCTTTGGCTTCTCACGAAACACATCTTCTCTCTCTCAAACAATGCAAGAGTCTTTAAAGCAAGGCACGGTCATGGCTTAAAGACTAGTGCTTAACGATTGGAAATCACCTTTACCTCCCTTATTCCAGAACAGGATTTTTGACATGATATATGTTATTCAGTTGGAGAGACTTAGATTTTTAAGGACTAGCTCTATAGGAACATTTTTTGGCTATTCTGAGTCAATTTCTTGATTTATTTGGCAAATCTCAAGAGCAATCCAGTGACCCCTCTGAGGTTTAAGCTATATACTCTCTCAAGTTTTGATTGTATGTTGTTTGACTATGATTTTTTGTTTGTTTGTTTGTTGTCTCTTTTCTTTTTTGTTTTCCTTTATTGTCCTTTGTATGTCCACAGTAAGAGCCAATGTTTGCTCTAGTTCTGTGTAAAATAAAGTAATAAAAAAAAAAGATTTACATGCAGCTATTTGCCTTAATCGACAATAATATAATAAGGGTTCAAAACTGATGTTTAACTAAATAAACAGTCAGTAAACACAAGTACATCTTGTTGAACATCATTTATTTGCACAACGAATTATCATTGTAGAACAGTTTCTCAAACCGTTTGGGATGCATTTTGGAAACAGGAGATGAGCCCCTGGTCTAATGTGCCACCTTTAAGAAACCCGTTTTCAAGCACTTACTTTTAGTCATTATTTGGGTTGCACACATATTTTGAATGCCTTCGGCAGAATTTCCCCCCTTTCCACAGCGCCCTGACGAGGACACACTGAGGCGCTGTTTTTTCCACATGTCAATGTTTATGAATAGATTACACCAAAAAGGACAAGAGTAATCTTGAAAAACTCTACATCAGTTTAAAGCTACATCCCCTAAGCACCCATTGCAGCTAGTTGTTTTTCAATGGAAAGCTTCTAAAGAATGTATTTGTTAAATTTGCTAAAGTTTTGCAGAAAACGCTTATTAGATATGGCGTACATATCATGTAATAACAACACACACTCACATTCATTGCTGTACATCACGATTTGTTTTGAAAGGTAAGAGTCCACAGAAAAACATCCCATAAACACATTTAGTCCACTGACACAATAGTGTTGAATTATGGATGGTTATTCATTTGTTTATGTCACCGTTTCTGCCGGAGATCTATTGTTTACACCGTTTTACCATGGTACTTACATGTGAAAACAGAGTCTTTGGAGTAAAAGACCAGTCGATGTCATAGCTTACAGTGTTACAGATAAAATGAGACCACAAACTAAATAAAATTCCAAGTTAAATCTAAACAAAGCCGAGTGTTTTGACCGTATGCATGTCTCTCAGTCATTGCTATCGATCAGTCACTTCCTACTTCCCAGAAGTTTGACTGACAGAGAATTTTAAGCTAGATTAATTCCAAGAATACAGTGCGATTAATCTAGATTAAAAAAAATTATCTATGACTACCTATAATAATTCGATTTAATATTATATTAGCTATAATATTATAGATATTATTATTATTATTATTATTATTACTATTATTATTATTATTATTGTTGTTGTTGTTGTTGTTGTTATTATTATCATATTGTTTTTCTTGGAAAGTAATCTATTTTCTTTTGTTCAAATGACATGAACTGATGAATTGTAACTATACGAACCAAGAATGATATTAAACAGTTTCATTTCAGGATGACTTCAAAAAAACAAACAATCATGTCAATGTGACTTTAAATAATGTCTCTTCTGTCAGCACATGGCATTTGAAGCATTTATTCATTGCTTACCAAGTCTTTGACATTGTAAGGTGAGAGATTGTTTTGCTGGAGTTCTTTGTTGAAAATGGAAGACCTTCATTTGACTCTGTTCAGACGGCAGAGCTCTGGCTGTTGGGGGAATGGGACCAGACCTCCTGCCCAGGAGTGTGCTTCAGCAGTACGACCTTCGCAAGGACGTCTGGGCGCTCCTTCCAGCAATGCCCACCCCGCGCTACGATACCAGCATCTGCCTACTGGGCTCCAAGATCTACGTGGCAGGTTTGCGATCACCACTTAAATTCCATCTCAAATCTTAATTGAATAATATGTGGACTTACAGGTGTTTAAGACCTCACTGTAGATTTAGGAATCACCCTCCTACCTATAGAACTGCATGATATTGGAAAAAAAATTACATTGTGATATTTTGTTTTTTAACAGTTATTCAACAATATTGCTATATGAATATGTACATATTATATCAATATCGTTATATATTCAACAATATTCTTATATGAATATGTACATATTATATCAATATCGTTATATATTCAACAATATTCTTATATGAATATGTTTATATTAAATCAATATCGTTATATATTCAACAATATTCTTATATGAATGTTTATATTATATCAATACCGTTATATATTCAACAATATTCTTATATGAATATGTTTATATTAAATCAATATCGTTATATATTCAACAATATTCTTATATGAATATGTTTATATTAAATCAATATCGTTATATATTCAACAATATTGTTATACGAATATGTTTATATCATATCAATATCGTTATATATTTAACAATATTCTTATATGAATATGTTTATATTATGTCAACATCGTTATATATTCAACAGTATTCTTATATGAATATGTTTATATCATACCAATATCGTTATATATTCAACAATATTCTTATATGAATATCTTTATATTATATGAATATCGTTATATATTCAACAATATTCTTATATGAATATGTTTATATTATATCAATATCGTTATATATTCAACAATATTCTTATATGAATATCTTTATATTATATGAATATCGTTATATATTCAACAATATTCTTATATGAATATGTTTATATTATATCAATATTGTTATATATTCAACAATATTCTTATATAAATATCTTTATATTATATGAATATCGTTATATATTCAACAATATTCTTATATGAATATGTTTATATTATATCAATATTGTTATATATTCAACAATATTCTTATATGAATATCTTTATATTATATCAATATCGTTATATATTCAACAATATTGTTATATGAATATGTTTATATTATATCAATATCGTTATATATTCAACTTTTAGGCTTTGATCCTAATTGTGTCGTTTTTGGTGCTTGTTGCTTTAAATTCAAATGAGACTGTGCTCTTATCAAAAGAGGGCGGAGCTACAAATGCCTGTGGGTGAGCATAATGGCAGATTCAAAAACATGACTAACGTCCTATGCTAATGAGGGAGAGATCATCACTAGTGGGCGGGGCTTTCCCCAATCAAAGTGTTTCTGCAGACTGTTTTTATCAAGTGTGCTTGTAAAAAATAAATTGTATGCTTTTTTATTATTAGAAGCTGGTTGTATTTGTAAACTGCTGCCACACAACTGTCTTTAAACGACCTATAAATGTGATTTTTGCATAATAGGTCCCCTTTAAATAACTATATTTGGGAATAATTAATATAAAACATGTACATATTAAATAATCTTGTTACACTGAATGCCTGCTGAATAAATTGCATTCAGGACAAAGGTTCCCATATAGATCCAGCACTATTTCTTTTTAATATATATTGATCATGCCAGCAAAGCATAGTTTTTTTTATATCTTGGTACGTCATACAAGTAACATAGAATAAAATCTAGAATATTAAACTAAATGAAAGCAGCTTGAAAAACTATTCCAGACATAATTTGACAACTTGTTTTCATGTTAAATGTTTTTTAACACGTGAATTAGACATTTACTTACAGTCAAGACCAAAATTATTTATACCCCTGGGGTGTGAATGATTTTGGGCTTAACTGTTTATTTGATATGCATATAAAATAACTTTTGTCAATTTGATTTAATCGGACACCAAAAAGGTTCTTAAAATCAGTAATTACCACTAAAAAAGCCAAATATTTCAACTTTCCCTGATGCAAAAGTTATGCCAGTGTCTCTATTTCTTCAGGTGGACGTCAGTGTAAGCGTTTAGTCAAGGCGTTTGAAGTCTTCGACATGGAAAACCGCACCTGGTCCTCTTTACCCAGCCTGCCTTGCAAAAGATCTTATTCTGGGGTCTTATGGGACAGCGCTGGGTGTCTCTGCTGGTTAGGAGGACTCAGACAAGGAGGAATACACCAAAGCTCAAAGTTTACAAAGAATGTTAACATCTTCGACACCAACAAAGGTAAATTTATATAGAGACACCAACTTTATTCCTTTGTTCTTGTTGAAAACATTAGCAATTTAATGGTGAAATGATCAGAAAAAGAACTTTAATTATGTTCGCCATGAAAAATATATTGTATAAGGTCATCGTGTTAAAGGGATAGTTCACCCAAAACGGAAAACTCTGTCATCATTTATTCATCATTCACGTTTTCCAAACCAGTTTGACTTTCTTTCTTCTGTTACAAAACAACACAGAAGAAGATATTTTGAAGAAAGTTGGAAACCCATTGACTTGCATAGTTTTTGTTTTTCCTATAGGATGTCAGTGTTTTTAAAATAGTGAGTAAATTGTCATTTTTGGGTGACCTATCTCTCTAAATCTGTGTTTCACTACAATCAGTCTGCTCAGTTGAGTCAAGACCACCTCATTCTGGTGATCTCAGACCGATTGATCTAGCACTGACTCGAGCACAATTGCAGGATTCACATATGCCACAAACCACACTTACTGAGCAAACGAGATAGGTTCCGAAACAAACGTCTGGGCATGACAGCGCGCAATTGACAAACAGTCAAATTTACTTTTAGTGACAAGGCAGCACTCGCCCCGATCTGGCAAGTAACCATTCTGTATACTGTCCCGAGTGTCTTGCACGCTGGCCCCGGGTCAGCAGGCAGTCCTTATTGTCGAGCCCTGCATACACACTTTATGGACATCAGAGAATTATTTTACATCTTGCATAATACAGAAGGTCGCCTTTAAGATGTTTCTCCACAGTGATTTTAGCACTCAATGCATTGCAAAAGTCAACTTAGTGGTGAAACTCTGAGTACTGTACGCTGAGAACACAGGCACCAAATTAAATATGCGCCGCTTGTGCATGCAAGATGAAACAGGCCTTCAGTGTAATCTGTGAAATCCCCAAGAGAAATAGATTTGGCTGTTGAACGCCTATCAGCAAGGCAAAATGTTTCGATGCACAAGTATATTAGTAATCATGGATGACTTTTTTTTTTTTTTTATATATATATAATTTTTTTTTTAAAGATTAACCCACAAAAAAAATCCCCAGAAAGATACAAGGTGTGACAAAACGTACAAACCTGCTGAAATGAGTTATTGATTTCTCCCCGGCTTCTCGCACCTTTTTTTTTTCTTCCTCTACATCGTTTCCGCTCAAATCTGATCTTTTCTAATCAGATTCAGCAGATGGGAAAATTGCGCAGACTTTTTTTGGGGCCCCAAGGGCGACTACAGAAAAAAATCCTATTGTAAGTGGCCTGTGAGGAGGTCAACCTGAAACAACTGATCTTTGCACACTGCCACCATACGAGTCCTTTCTCTTTTTTTAATTATTCCATTACTGTCAGTCAGTCAACAGGTACGCGAGCCAGTGCTCACAGAGCGGCACGGGGGGATTAAACCTCGCTATCTCATTTCCTTCTGCCCGAATCCGCCACCAGCAATAAAAGCCCTTGCGTACAAGTCTTCCAATCTAATATAACCACCCGATAAGATAGTAGGATAGGAAAGGGGCGTTAAATGATGCTATTTAGAAACACATTGTCACCCCTTATCCATAGCTCTACCTGATAGATTGTTGAGCCCATCTGCTCTTTTGTCTTAACACAGGGTGCTGTCGAAGGGGTCGTACAGTGGGGGAAATAAGTATTGAACATGTGACCATTTTTCTCACAAAACATATTTCTGAAGGTGTCGTTGACTTGAAATGTCTCCCCGGGTGTTGGTAACAACTGAAATGCAGCCATAAGAAAACAAAAATAATGCAAAGAAAACAAAACTAACTAGAAAAGTAAAGTTCGTAGACAAACTGTATGGTGGCTTGAGAAAGCCTCGCCTGAAAGTTTAAAGTAGTTTTAAAGTTTAAATCATTAAAGTAGTATTTAAGACGTTTGTCGTAAGCAGTCGTCATAGAGAGATAAGTGCATATATGTTGGCATGTTTCTAGTATGGATTGCCATGTTTCTTGTTAAGGTGTTGCTAGGGTCTTCTGCATGCTTACCGCTGCTAGGGTGCTTACCGCATTGCTAGGCCGCTGCTAGGGTGTTCTAGGTGGTTGCTAAGATGTTCTGCTTGGTTGCCAGGCGGTTGCTAGGGTGTTCTAGGTGGTTACTAAGACATTGCTTGGCGGTTGCTTGGGTGTTCTAGGTGGTTGCTAAGGCGTTGCTGGTCGGTTTCCTTGGTGTTCTAGGTGATTACTAAGGGGTTGTTAGGTTGTTGCTAAGGTGTTATGGATGGTTGATAGGTGGTTGCTAAGGTAATGCTAGGTGGTTGCTAGGGTGTTTCTAAAGCGTTGCTAGGTGGTTGCTAAGGTGTTGCTAGGGTGTTCTAAGTGGTTGCTAATGTGTTGCTAGCCGACTGCTAGGGTGTTGCAAGGTGGTTGCTAAGGTATTGCTAGGGTGTTCTAAGTGGTTGCTAAGATGTTGTTAGGCGATTGCTAGGGTGTTGCAAGGTGGTTGCTAAGGTGTTGCTAGGTGGTTGCTTGGGTGTTGCTAGGCTGTTGCTAATGTGTCGCTAGGGTGTTCTGAGTGGTTGTTGCTAGGTGGTTGGTAAGGCGTTGCTATGTGGTTGCTAAAGTGGTGCTAGGTGGTTGCTAAGGCATTGCTAAGTGGTTGCTAAGGTGTTGTTTGGTAGTTGCTAAGGTGTTACTTTGTGGTTGCTAAGGTGTTGCTAGGTGGTTGCTAGGGTGTTCTGAGTGGTTGCTAAGGCATTGCTAGGTGGTTGCTAAGGTGTTCTGAGTGGTTGCTAGGCAGTTGCTAATGCTGTGCTAGGTGGTCACTAAGGTGTTGCTAGGTGGTTGCTAGGCAGTTGCTTACATAACTTAGCATGTTTCTAGCATAATATAGCATGTTTACTAATATGATTAGTATGTCTGTTAGTATGTTTTATATGGATTGTTGTGTCATTGGTATGTTTTAGTATGGATTAGTATATTGCTAGTATGGATTGGTATGTTGTAAGTGTGTCCAATGTAAAGTTAATGGCAATTTTTTACAATTGAAGTCCATGGGACAGTTGCTAGGGTGCCATAGGTGGTTGCTAGAATGTGGCTAGTAAATTGAAAGGTCATCAGTGATTGGCGGATTGGTAGTCTGAGTTAAACGAGCCCAAATTTAAGTCTGTTTGACAGTCTGGCGCAAAGTTATGAGGTTACAAAGTTTAACCCAATGTTCAATCAATGGAACTTTTCCATAATTTCCGTGTTAGTTTTTTTTTTTTGGAAAACCAAAAGTCGGATCAGTTGGAAAAGATATAGCAACCCGAGTCATACCAGTTTGGAGGATCCGTATTAGATTGGTGGTTGTAGTATGAACGGTCCGGAAGGAGATGCATATAGAAATTAGTCTCAAGAAGAAGAAGTGTATGTAGTATAACAGTATGTTGGCTTTCTCAAGCCACTGTAATTAGTTTAGAAAATGAGGTTATGTGTAATAAAATGAAATGACGCAGGGAAAAGGTATTGAACACATGAGGAAAGAGAGGCGTAGAAAGACAGTGAAAGCCCGGACAGCATCTGAAATCTCTTAGTAGTTCTTCAGCAACCCTCTGCCCTTCCTCAGTGTAAATGAATATCAGCTGCTTCAGTCCAACATCAACATTAGCAGGATGATGAAGATGAAGTCAGGGTTTAAGCAAGACAATGATTCAAATCACAGCCAAGGAAACTCTCAAATGCTTTCAGAGTAAGAAAATCAAGCTGTAGAATAGCCCAGCCAATCACCTGACCTGAATCCAATAGAGAAAACACAATAAAGCTCAGATCTGATAGACGAGGCCCACAGAACCATCAAGATTTTCACACTCTGTTGAGGTCTGTACAATACTTATGTGTGACATGTACAATCAGGCCCGGATTGGCTAATCGGGAGGACCGGGAGAATTCCCAGTGGGCCGGTCCGTTTTTTGGCCGCTAGGGCCGGTGTCCCTAGCTCCAGAATCTGTCCCAGATAGCAGGCAGTAATCGGCCCGAGCTCGGCTGCCCTCCGGCGCCTCCGGCTCCGACTCGGCATCGGCGAGTGTTATCCGGGCCGAGTGCGGCCCGCAGCTCGCTCGCGCACATGCGGTTGTGATGCGGCTGTAAAGCACTGGCCCGATTCCGGTCAACCATATGGCAACCGATTAAGGCTGATGGCAACCGATTAAGTTCTTATTTTATCTAGTAATCTGTTAGCTCCACGTTTAATGATAATTTGAGAAAATATTCATGGTACGATAGCAAAAAAAAAAAAGAATATTTAGTGTGGATGGTCGCAATGTTTAGACGCAAACAAAACAATATTATTTATAAATAGATTATACATGTCATCTAGAGAAAAACTATGTAAAATTCGCTTAATTTTGAGATAGCACGCTCCTGTGCTGACTGTTTTTGTTTTAAAGCAGAAGTTGGTTTCATAATAAACACATGCGTGACTAAACTCATGATCCACACTCCAATCCAGACGGTGGCGGTAATGCTCCAAAAAGCTGGTTGTCAACCACCATGGCACGAAGATCACAAGAAGAAAAAGTTTGGTTTTTTTAAAGACTTCACGTGGATCCCGGTCAGAAAGGTAAGCTTTTTACTGCTTGTGTACTGTATAATTAGCGAATTTAGAGCTTAAAACATTTCCACGGTGTTTGGTTGTAACAGCGTTTAGTAATTTAAAACAGTTTGATACGAAATGTAACTTGCTTTAAGAAACACAACTGGAGCTAATGTATGCTAACGCTAACAGTTACAAACAGCCTGAAAGTTCATTTTCCTTTAACACAATGTTAGATTGTAACGTGTGTAGTAACTGAAAACTATTTTAATTATTTTAAAGAAACATGAAACGAATTTGTGTGTATGCTAACTTTGCGTTAAAGAAAGTTTCTGTAGACGAATCCATTAACTAACTTGGCAAAACATGTTTTTTTTCCTGATTTAACATTATAAAGTACCGTGGATGTTGAAAAAAATCATTGTACAGGCGTTTACTTATCCAACAGTATTAATTCTGTGATTGTGT